GAATTAATATTTGTGTTAATCATTACAAGTATTAAAGAGTTTTTGTAGTGTAACTACAATAATAGTGACTTCAAGTGTATATAATGTCTTAAATTTTTTTTCTTTTGAAGAATGATTGAGAAAGTCTCTTATATATAATTCTCGAATGTGTTGAACTTAAGTGGCAGCCTCGCATATTTCGCCATCTTATATGGCAAATTTTGAAGCTTTGGGTGTTTGACATGGATGAATTTTAATTTATTTGTAATCCAAAATTAATGAGGCTTGGAATATCCATAAATATACTGAACATTTATGGTCATTTCTAAAAGTAATTATGTTTTAATATCATTTCATATTGTAAACATGGTTTATATAGTATTAATTTTTTTCCAATCTTTCTTATAAAATAATAACAAATTTATTAACTTAAATTATAAATATATTTAAAAGTTAATAACTTTTTTATTTATTAAATATAGATATATAATATATATCAAATTAATCGTGTGTTTATGAGATTCGATTTGACATCTATATTATGTATACAAAATAAATAAATAATTTTATTATCATTATCATTGAAATTAAATTACCTATTAATATTAGTTCAAAACATAAATTATCTAAATTAATTTAACTACAAAATAATTATCGAATATAAATTAAATATATATATATATAATATAAGATGATAAGTTGTGTAAGTGACTATGCTATTTTTTTTTTCTTGGTACAGGGACCTTCCGGTTTCCGGATTCACAGGGGAACCGACTAATTCGGAATCGAGTCGGGTAGGACCACAAGGGCGGCAAAGCTCTCCCTCAAGAATTTTATATATACATAATAATATATCTTTTTAAAAAAGTATTTAAAAACTACAATAAAATTTGTTGTTCTTATTATTTAATATCTTAAATATTTTTCTGACCAAGAACCCGTGTATAGTACACGTGTATTGTAGTAGTAATTTATAACTCTACTTACTATAATATATTTTGAAGTATGTGCCTGAAAGCTGCAATTTCATTTCCTCTTTCAAACATGAAATTTTTGTGCAGCAATCTTATAATATTTGGTCGAGTTTTCCCCTTTTCTTCCTTCTTTTCCCATTTGTCACTAAAATTTCCGAGACACGTATTGTAGACTTTATATACGACAATTAGGGCGTCCCCAATAGTTGGCTATTTGACTAACTATTATTGCGTGGACAGGGGAAAAGTAGGAGAAAGAGTAGTCACTAGCGACGAACAAATAGCTTATCTATTTCACGTAGCCCAAGATCATGTGAGAGGAGTACGTGAGTCCAATAGTGTAAAATAGTTATTTTTCTTATCTCTCACATCCACGTCAGCTGACCATATAGCTAGTAATAACTATTACCATTGGGGATGCCCTTAAATGTTAAAAGAGACACACAACTGATGTTTTAGATTGCGGTCCTTAATAACTATTCCAATTTTTTTTTTAATAATTTGATGAAGATCCTAATAATACTTATTTTGATAGGTTAGTTTTGAGGTTACATTCTCTACCCATTCTTGTTATGTACTTATTAACGGTTCATCACCTTGAATCAATATTGATTTAGGTATCGGAGACTCGTCACCGAAAAACAGTGTCGAGTTCTTTCAGATGTGGAGTCCGCTCGAGGTAGAAGAGGAAGTTGTTGAGATCGAATAAATCATTTCCTCACTGTAATAGTTCGAGTAGAGACCGAGTGAATTCAGTCTACTTCACTACTAGTATTCAACCTGTGCATTTGCACAAATATATAAATAAAATATTGTGAGTTATTTGTATACATATAATGATTAATAATTTTTGTTAAATTTACAATTAAAGGAGCTGAAATATTTAAATTTTTTTAATTGCGTTTATCATATTGGATATAATGTATATTTTGGTATGTATCTTTTTTTGTGAATTACATATTATTTATTTAGGAATTTCAAATATGTTTTTAATTTTTCGAAAGAAGTTAATTTAAATGTAACCACAACAATAACATCTACTCACATTAAATAGTCAACACATTATATGGTCAACTGCAAGTAATTAGAAAATTTAAAATGATTTTTGTAATTTTAAAGTAATTAGTGTATTGATTACCTATGTTATCATCCGATTCGGTAAAACTACATTAAGAGATTCCAAACATCACATTAAGAGGAAAATGACCACTAAACCGACGTGATTTTAACACCACCCCGGTCCAGGCGATGAACCAAACCGAATTACCGAAGACCGAGGTCGGTCAGCATCTACCGAGGTCAACATAAATCGAGATCGTCACCTCCTTAAGCAGGTGACAAGGTGTCTACGCACAACCATCCCACTCCACAAGATCCGTCATCATTTATGTGGGGCCCACTGCTCCAAACCGCCCACAAAAAGCTACTTTATTCGAAAAGTAGTACACGGATCCCAATGTATCTACCAAAGCTTACTATAAATAGTGAACTCATGACATTTGTACGGGGATCTCTCCGAACTGAAAAAATTTCATTAAGCAACACGTAAAAGCCCATCACGGCTCTTCACCTCGGTTCACCTCGGACCGGGGCCATCGTTGAAGTTACTTTACATGCTTTACGTCCAAATCATTCATAATTCTCATCTTAATTACGTGTTACATCGTTGTTAGAAATCACATAACAACAGTTTGGCGCTAGAGGAAGGGCCTCATAAGTGATTTGAGGTTAATCTCCGCTTGTTCACGTAACGATTCACGCCAGCCATATCCGCTATGTCTCACTCAGATCCTCGTGGTCACACGTCACGAGACGGCCACAGTCGTAGCGCCGCGCAATCCGCCAGACGACAAGTCGTGGCCCCACCTGTGCCGGATTATGCTGTTCTGTTTCAAAATCCAGAATTTGCGCGTGGTTTTGCCGCTCTAATGGCCCAAACGATGCCGGGAACATCGACAACTGCTCCGGGACACTCCATCATTCCCACGACCCCCGCGAACCGACAGAATCCACCGTCGCGACAAGACGGCGGAAGGACAACATCTCATGCTACATCTCAACCTCGTGATCGAATGTCACAACCGCCTCCGGAACAAACTACACGTCGCACTGACGCCGGGCGTAACCCTCCTATACTTCCTCAAGAAGAAACTGCCGAAAGCCAGTCGGGTCATTTACGACGGTCACCGCCTCATGCACAGCGCCGACATCCTTCCAATCCGGCGCAAACCGACCTCCGACAGCATATTGAACGGAATCGGGCTCGTCAAGAGTCGTCCGAACTCGAAACACTGCGACGACGAATAGCCGAATTGGAAAGTCGGCAACGGGTACCTGAAGATCCACCTCGGCGGGCCTCCACCTCGGCACAAGTGTATTTGGAAGCCGATTCTCCCCTTACTCCGGAACTCACTTCGGAACCAGTTCCTGGAAAAGTTAAGGTTCCCCAGATCGGGCTATATGATGGAACATCTGACCCGGACTCACACCTCGGTCATTACACTTCATGGATGGATCTGCATGGGGCCTCAGACGCACTTCGGTGTCGTATGTTTTCACTAACACTGGGGCCTCGGGCCCAAAAATGGTACCATTCTCTTCCTCCTCATTCAATTTGGAAGTGGCAACAATTAAGGTCGGCTTTCCGATCTCATTTTATCGGGGCTCAAGTATGCCTTATCCCAAAAGAGTCTCTTGCGAATATCACCCAGAAAGATGATGAAAGGGTTAAGGATTATATTGCTCGTTTCAATGACCGAGTTCAGAATATGGAACCTTGTCATCCTGAAACCTTGCTTGTTATGGCTATTGCTGGATTGAAACCGAATTCGATTTTCCGCTGGACGCTATGCCAAAATAAACAGAATACTTTTCAAGAATTTCTCGCTCGAGCCCAGCAGCATATCATAGCGGAAGAAGCCATGTCGGTTCCCGATTTCAACTTTAACCCGAAGTCCTCTAAAGCGGGAACCGACGAAAAAAGGAAGAATAAATTTTTCGACAAGCAAAATAAGACTCAATTCAGGGGGCCTCCCCGAGGAGACCCCAACGATCCTGAAGTCCGAGCAGCCCGAAAACAGTACGCAACCGACGTGAAGTCCGGTTATCAAACTGTGTACTCGGCGGGAGCAGCCACTATTTATGAAGAAATCAAAGGGAAGGGCATTTTGCCAGATCCCAAGCCACTTCGGATGCCTGAAGAAAAACTGGACAAGTCCCGATATTGCGATTATCACAAGTCGCCCGGGCACAACACGGACGAGTGTTTGAGTCTGTTGGCCGCATTGCTGCGTTTAATCGGCCATCCGCAGCTTAGGAAATTTTATCGTAACACTGATCCCCAGAGGCGAGGTCCTGGACGTCAAATCGAATCCTTTGATGATGAAGACGATGAGGAAGACCGAGGTGCTATGACAAAACGCATCCGACAGGGAGATAAGGAAGTATTCATGTTTACCTCGGAGACGTCCGATTCTAACTTTGCCGGCACTTCCCGAGGACGAAAACGAGATAGGTCCCCTGAACCAATGCAAATCACCGTCCACCGGGTCAATACCAACAACCCCCGGAGTACATTGTCCCGTCGACAGGTCAAGGCATATGCCCGACAAGCGCACAACTCCGGCAAACAGGTGTACACTACTGATTTGAGAGATGTTCTCAACAATCGAAATTGCCCCATAACCTTTAATATGGAGGATGCTAATCATTTCGCTCATCCTCATTCCGACGCATTGGTTATTACCGTCCCTATATGCGGTATTCCTGTTCATCGTGTCATGGTGGACACTGGGGCCTACTCAAGCATCTTGATGTTGAAAGCTTTTGACAAGATGGGTCTTGACCCCGCCGAAATCCGACCCTGCAACGATCAAATCCAAGGGTTTAATGGCAGTATTTCAAAGCCCATCGGAGAAATCACTTTACCTGTCAGATTTGGCACGTCGGAGAATGTCACCAAACTTGGCATGGAAACTTTTAAGGTTATGGATATTAATAACGAGTACAACGCCATCATCGGCAGAACGGCATTATACAAACTTCGAGCTGCAGTTTCTATCTTTCACTATGCATTAAAGTTCCCGACGACCCGGGGAGAAGGGACCCACTTCGGAGATCAAAGAGAAGCTCGACAACTTGTCACGTTTATCCCATCCAATGGAGTTCATTCAACTTCGATGGGTAATAATGAAGCCTCCCCCCAGCAGCACTCTTCAGACGAAGTGGTAATCGAAGAACCAATAAATCACGACGGCGATCCTTCCACCTCGGATCCTTTAACCGAAGACCGAGGTCGCCGACCCGGAAAAGAACCACTTCTTGAAGAAGACGAGTTGGACCCCAGAGCATTGTTTAAAGAAAAAAGTAGAGTTGATCGAGCCGAACCTGGAGAAGACGTGGAATTGGTCTATATTGATGAACCGGTCTTCCACAAGTCGTTGCGCGTCGGAAGTCATCTCCAGGAACCACTTCGGTCAGAACTTATCTCGTTCCTCAAACAGAATTCTGATGTTTTTGCCTGGAAGCACGAGGATATGAAGGGCATCGACCCCGGTGTCGCTAGCCACAAACTGAACCTCGATCGAACAGTCCGGCCTGTTGTGCAAAAGAGAAGGAAATTGGGGCCGGATCGTCAGAAGGCATTGGAAGAAGAAGTCGAAAAACTCATCGACAATAAGTTCATCAAGGAAGCCAAATACCCGACGTGGGTCTCAAATCCAGTTCTTGTCAAAAAGAGTAACGGGTTGTGGAGATTGTGTATTGATTTTTCCGATCTCAACAAGGCGTGCCCAAAAGAAAGCTATCCACTTCCCCATATAGATTATATGGTTGATGCCACGTCGGGACATGAGTTGATGAGTTTCATGGACGCTTACTCCGGCTACAATCAGATTCCTATGGATCCCGAGGACTCTGAACACACTTCATTCTATTCGGCCCGAGGTCTGTATTGTTATACTATGATGCCGTTCGGATTAAAGAACGCCGGAGCTACATATCAACGTCTTGTCAACAAAATGTTCGCTACACTGATCGGTCACACTATGGAAGTTTACGTTGACGACATGCTCGTCAAGTCGGTACACGCCTCTGATCATATAACGCATCTTCAAGACATGTTCACCATCCTCCGATCTTATTCCATGGTGCTGAATCCGAAGAAATGCACTTTTGGAGTTGAATCCGGAAAGTTTCTGGGCTATATGGTTAGCCAGCGCGGGATTGAAGCCAATCCGGCCAAAATAAAGGCCATTCAGGATCTAACTCCCCCAACCTCGGTCAAGGGTGTTCAGGCCCTAACTGGCCGACTTGCTGCACTCAACCGGTTCATCTCCAAGTCTACAGATCGTTGTAAGCCGTTTTTCGAAGCAATCAAGAAAGGGAAACGTTTTGAGTGGACCGAAGAATGCCAAAAAGCTCTTGAAAGTATTAAGGAGACGTTAGTCTCTCCCCCAACCTTGCAAAAGCCGAAACCCGAGGAAATGTTGTTCTTATACCTCGGAGTCAGTGAATCTGCCATTAGCGCTGTTTTGATACGCGAAGAGGGATTGATGCAATCACCCATCTATTATGTCAGCAAAGCCTTGCACGACGCCGAACTACGTTATCCCCCGATGGAAAAGTTAACGTTTGCGCTTGTGATGGCAGCCCGGAAATTACGGCCATACTTCCAAGAGCATTCTGTAACTGTCCGCACTTCGTATCCACTTCGGCAAATCTTGCACCGACCTGACACCTCGGGACGCATGGTTAAATGGGATATTGAGCTCGGACAATTCGACATCCATTATCAACCGAGGACCGCAATCAAGGCTCAAGCCTTATCTGACTTTATCGCTGAGTTTACCCCGGCCATCACAGTTCATCATAATAATCAACCATGGGTCCTCTATATTGATGGCTCCTCAACAGCTAACCGAGCAGGTGCAGGGATTGTCTTAGCCGATCCAGAAAATCGGCTATTCTGTCACTCGGTGAAGTTCCTTTTCCCGGCAACAAACAATGAAGCCGAATACGAAGCGCTGCTATCACTAAATTTTGCAGAATCCATGAACGTGACTCACCTCAAAGTCTTCTCAGATTCCCAGCTCCTTGTCAATCAAATCAATGGTTCATATGAAGTCAAAGAACCTCGGTTGACACCCTATCTCTCTTTGGCCAAACGAAAATTATCGAAATTCTCCGCCGACCTCGAGCATATCTCCCGAACTCTTAATGTTCAAGCAGATGCCTTATCTCGACTTGCGTCCAGTACTGGGATGGAGAGCGCGGAGTATGTTCAAATCGGCCAACAAGAACAACCGTCAACTGCCCTTTCCGAGGTCACGACCATCAACCCGGTAGCATCACATAAATCACCAACTTGGATGGATCCTATTATCCACTACCTAGAAACTGGGGCCTTACCTCCAAACCCAAAAGAAGCTCGAGCACTTCGGATTCGGGCAGCTCGGTACACATTAGACAACGGAACTCTGTTCAAAAGGGGATACTCCGTTCCGCTTTTGAAATGCGTAAGTGAAGCTGATTCACGGTACATTCTCGAAGAAGTCCACGAAGGGATTTGCGGAAGTCACCCCGGTGCACAAGCATTATCTTATAAAATCCTGCGACAGGGTTACTATTGGCCGACCTTGAAAACCGACGCCGCCACATGGGTGCGCAAATGCCCGAAATGCCAAATGTTTGCACCAAATGTTCATCAATCTCCCGAAGAACTCAAATCGATCTATAGTCCGTGGCCATTTGCCAAATGGGGGATTGATCTTATAGGTCCTCTACCAACCGGAAAGGGAGGTGTCCGGTTTGCTGTCGTGGCAGTTGACTATTTCACTAAATGGGCCGAGGCCGAACCGTTAGCCACGATAACCGAACAGAAGGTCGTTGATTTTGTGTGGAAGTCGATTATCTGTCGCTTCGGGGTGCCTAATTCTATCATAACCGACAACGGTAAACAATTTGAAGGCAAACGACTTGAATCCCTGTGCGAAAAATACAACATTAAGCACTTCTTCTCATCGCCTTACCACCTGCAGTCCAACGGCCAGGTTGAAGCTGTAAACAAGCTCATAAAGAACGGTCTCAAAGTCCGACTTGACGCCGCCAAAGGAGCTTGGCCTGAGGAGTTACCACATGTCCTGTGGGCATACAGGACTACCACTCGGACGTCTACCGGCGAGACCCCATTCTCCTTAACGTATGGATCCGAAGCCGTGGTTCCTGTTGAACTCGGAGAACCGACATACCGAGTTCAGCATTTCACCGAAGAGGCCAACTCGAAAAATTTAAAAACTGATCTAGACCTACTTGAAGAACACAGTACCAAGGCCGAACTCAGGAATGCCGCATACAAGCAAAGAAATGAAAGATATATCAATTCTAAACTCAAACCCCGTTCGTTCCGAGTTGGAGATTTGGTCCTCAAACGTATAATGGGGCCTGACCCCGGACCACTCAGACCACGGTGGGAAGGACCCTTTCGAATCATTAAAATCCTACCTCATAGGGCCTACCGGATTGCTCATCCGATGGAACACCACATCAATATCCCTGGAATGCGGTGTTTTTGAAAAAATTCTATCAATGAAAGATCCGAAGTCGAGTAGCCGACCTCCTTTCTGCACGGACCTTCTTTTGCCTCGGTGAATGCATGAAGTCACCCCTTTTGATGTACTGGAAAACCTATCAGTTTGCGTTTCTTGAAAAAGTCGAGCAACAAACTCGATATCGATGTAAACTTTTTGACACCCGGTTATATGAATATACCATGCCGATGTAAGCATTGCGACACTCGGTCTAGCTGATACCCCATAATATGTTTGAATACCACATATTTTCGGATGGGGGTGATGCTCGTCAAACGTCATTTCAACAAACATGATTTGACGGGCCCCGAATATTACCGAATACCCAACATATAAGTCGGTTGGGGCCATTCCATAATCGGACTCTGACGAAGTTCAGTGATTTTCATTTTATCATTCGTACAACCCTAAAAATGTGTTAAGTTCCGCGAAGTTATCTGAAAACTCGCATTTCGACTTACACTTGTGGCTGAGATTATTATCAAAGTGGAATTCGGAGATTATTTTACAAAACCTTACAACTCGGATCATGATTTAAATAATTCCGAGTTGAAGCAGTTCATTTCACAATGCGAACCGAATTCAAAACACTTTGACAAAATCGCTGAAAATTGCGTAACAAACATAAAATCAAAATCAAACATACGCAAATTCTTTATATATATTTATATAAAACATAAAATTGCGTAAAACATAAAATCGCTGAAAATTGCGTAACAAACATAAAATCAAAATCAAACATACATAAAATTATTTATATATATTTATATAAAACATAAAATCGCTGAAAATTGCGTAACAAACATAAAATCAAAATCAAACATACGCAAAATCTTTATATATAAATATATTCTGAAAAGTTTGGGAAATCCCTTACATATTTCTTACTAAGGGATTCGGTTATCCGATATCCCCGATTACATATCCAACTTCAAATATTTCCTACTAAGGATGCCAACATGCCGGCACCCCGATTGCAATATTATAAATAAAACAAAACAATAAGATAACCGGAAACAGACTTCAAGCCCCATCGGTCGGCTTCTCAACATTCTCCCCGGTGCCGCTGCTTTCTCCAACCTCGGTCCCAGAAGATAGTCGCTCCAAGACTTGCGACTCCTTCATCTTAGTGACAGCTTCAATAGCCCCATCCGGCACCGGAATGAGATCATCACGAGGGTCAGTCAGCTTCTCTACGTCGTCTTCAGCCGGCGTGACTACTTTCACCACTTCAATATCCTTATCGGCCGATCTTGCCTTCTCCTCAATGTACGCTTTAACCCGGCTCTGAATTTGTTCGGGAGTCATGTCGTCGAAATGCTGTTCGACCTCCACCTCGGCCAATGTCGAAAGGTACACGTCGGCCAGCTCTTTCCTTTTTTCCTTCTCCTCCTCTAAGATCATGTTGACGTAAGCACGTCGGAGGAGAGCAGCCCTATCCTCGGAGAGCGGCGGCAGATCAGGATTAGCATTCATCTCCTCCGAACGACGGAGCATCCAAACGCAGAAATCCCGTTCATCTTCATCAGCCGCCACATGCATTCCCTTTATCTCCGAGTCAAATCCATACTTCTCCAACTTATGGAAAAGAAACAAGCGGAGGTCGTCAATATCGTAGTAGCCGGCATCATAGCGCTCGATGACCCATCTCAGATTCAGGCAGGTGTTCATTTCAATCTCAAGATCAGGCCCCCCGACTTCATCATCTTCACCGGCCTCAGCAGCTTCCATCTCGGCATTGTCCCCGGACTTCGGTTCAACAACAACCGAATCTTTCCCGGCCTGAAAACCATTCTCATACATAAACTCGCCGTAAGATGATTTCTCCCTCTCAAGTTTGGCCATCTCGGCCTGATGAGCATCTTTTTGCCGACCTACGAGCTCGCGGGTCTCAGCACATTCTTTACGAGTTGCATCATGATTAGCCTTTTCCTCCGACAACGCCTTCTCGGTTTCCACCAGTTTGGCCTCAGAAATTTTGAAGTGCTGCTCCACTACGGCCAGGCGTGCCTTGAGATCTGCCACTTCGGCCTCATAGGCCTTCTTCTCATCTGATAATGTCAAAGTCTCAGCCTTTGCCCTCTCCAACTCGGCAACCTTCTCAGAAATCTGGCCCTTCAAGTCGGCCTCCATCTTGGCAGATTCTTCCTTCAATTGGACGATCACCACGTCACGTGCAGCTATGATATCCTTTTTTCCCTCCAATTGCGACGCAACCCGGCGATGATCGTCCTCGGCAGCCACCAAACTGACCAAGGCCCTGCCCACACATGCCTTGGCATAGCTCAGCTTATCAACGCTGGATAGAGAAGAAACCCCCACCTCGGATTTGGGGTCCCAAACCATCAGCGGAACTCGAGCAGCATTTCTAGCATTCTCTGGCATCTCGATCCGTGACGACATGTGTGGCGTCTTCACAGACTGGAAGGTGGTGAACCACTCCTCCACAACACCCTCGGGCACTTTAACGTTAGCAGCCCGCTCTTCGTCTATAGACAAAAAAGACTTTTCAAACAAAGGAGAATCATCATTACCTTTCTCAGTTGCTTTACGACCGGAGTCGTGTTTTTTCTTAGACCTCTTCTCCACTCCGGACGAAGCTCCGACATCCGCCATCTTCACCAATTTCCTTTTCTTCCTCTTCTCCGGTTGCTCCAACTCCAGGGACTTCGGAGAAGATGGTGGCACCTCGGTATGAGCAACATCGGCCGTAATCATTTCGATCCCGGTTATGACTGGTTCGGGATCTGCTTGGTTAATCGCTGCAGCCTCCACTACCGACAACACTTCGGTAGTTGCCACATCTGGCACGGACTTCGGATTTTCAGGCATGGCGGCCGAGGTCGCACTCGACCCCGCCTCGGTCAACTTCTTCCCAGCATTCTTCTGCCCGGCAGTCTTCTTCACCAACGCACGAACAAGACCCCTCCTCATGGCGTCGTTCAATCTTAAATCCCGAGTCTTACCAACTTTGGACTGAAGGTCTCTATTCGGAAATTTACGCCTAAACTCCTTGGCTTCCTTGACAGCGTTATAACCCAGAAAACCGAGGAGGGGATAATACACTGCATATCGACAAAGGATAAATAAAGTTACAAACAGCTGTTCTACGCATATGAAAAATTCAACAAAATCGTTACTGGTTAAAATTCTCTTACCGGGGTCAAACTTCGATGTAGTAACTCCCAGAGACAAACCAGCCGCTTCAAGTTTCGAGTCTATTAAGAGCTTGCGATAGTCCCTGTCTTCTTTATTCAAACCGGCCAAAGTTATCAACTTCCCACCGAATTCCGGACTTAACTTCGGTTATTTTTGCTTCGTCTCTTTTTCTACACAGAGTAAAAGTTCCGACCTGTTAGTACACAGAACAACACCGAAATC